GACACGCTCCAGCACCTCCATGTCCTTCTTGTAGTGAGGGGCCCAAAACTGAACACAGCACTCGAGGTGCGGCCTCACACCAGTGCCGAGCACAGGGGCACTATCACCTCCCTGGTCCTGCTGGCCACACTATTCCTGATACAGGCCAGGATGCCATTGGCCTTCTTGGCCACCTGGGCACTCTGCTGGCTCATGTTCAGGCGGCTGTCAACCAACACCCCCAGGTCCTTTTCAGCCAGGCAGCTCTCCAGCCACTCCTCCCCCAGCCTGTAGCGTTGCATGGGGTGGTTGTGACCCAAGTGCAGGACCCGGCACTGAGCCTTGTTGAATCTCATCAGCCCATCGACCCAGCCTGTCCAGGTCCCTCTGCAGGGCCTTCCTACCCTCCAGCAGATCAACACTTCCACCCAGCTTGACGTCATCTGCAAACTTACTGAGGGTGCACTCAATCCCCTCATCCAGATCATGTTTCACAAAGTCCTAAATTAAATGGTATGTGAACTTTGATGTTCAAGACTCCTATGTAACATACCTAGGAAAAAAGTGGACCTTTTTAACGTTAAAAAAAAGAACAGAATAAAGGGCAGAAATACAAAACAATGACTTAAGTCCTTAGGTAAAAATTTCAGAAGTCTAAGTTAAACGTGAGTTTTTGAACACAAACTATTTGTGCCAGTAACGCACACAAAAACATCTCATGAAAGCACTTGACAGCATGAACCAGAGAGGAGACAGAATAAGTAGATTGAGGATCCATGTACCTCAATAGAAGAGAAAGTTATGTTTGCTGAACTTGAAAGAGGGAAAAGTTCAAGTAACAATTTATTTGCAGAAAAGTTGATTGTAGTTAATAATTTATTTATGAAGACTGTGCCAAAAATTTTCCATGCTCTATTGACTGTACAAAATCACAGCATACTTACTATTCTTTAACATGAATACACAAACCTACAAAAACAAAAGCTGCTAAAATTAATTCAGGGTATACATCAGCTCTTTTGTGGCCTGTATTAGAAAACTAAGCTCAGAAAGTGTTTATAGAGTTTAATTCTTTTCAGTAAATGTAATTTAACTACATATTTTACATGAACAAAGAACAGCAGTTAGTGAGCACAAAAAACCCTCACCCTGTGTGTTTTAAGCAGAACTACTAAAGAAAATCTATTTCTTTACATTTCCCCATGCAATTTATAGCTCTGCTCTGAGTCTCAGTTGTTCATTACTCCAAATCCCAGTGAACTACCACGTCTTCAATGTTATACCCCTCTGCAACATCCTTGGTTCTTCTCTATTTATTCTCCCACCAGTTCTGCAATATCCTTACCTCCATTGCACATCTACTATGGCTGCCTCATAACTTAATTCAACCTCCTACCTTATCTTCTACCTTTGTTTTGCCAAAGGTTCAACTAAATAAAAAAAAAAAAACCACACAAAACAACAGAACAGCACTGGCAATGACTAGGCCCCAGATGATTAGAAAATCATCTGCCTTTCTGTAAGTGTGGGTTCCTGGTTTGGGTCTCTCTCATCCAAGCGTCTATCTTCATGAATCTTGTTAGACTCTAATTTCTTTGGAACTACCTGGATCAGATTTCATGGAAGTTAACCAAAAGGTTCAGAACTGACTGGAAGTACAACAGAACCTCAGGTTTTAAGAAACCAGTCTTAGAACATTACATGTCATGCTTTGGCAAGGCATCTCTTGTAGAATCCCTGCAACTTCTGTTTATTAAGGGTGA